TGAAACTTATTTTTAAAATAAGCAGTTATGTGTTTGGATAAAAGTGCTGAAGTTAAAAAAAAGTTGTTGGTGTGTTTGGCAAATAAGTGCTGATAAACAACTTTTTAAATCAAAATGTCTGAAATACCCTTAAAAGCTGTTAACATAATAAAAGTTAATTAATTTATATTTTACAGCCATAAATAATTATATTTTGCTATCATTCACATATTTCTTTCTCATCACAAATTATTTATAAGAGGAATATAAACTTATTATAGATTTTAAAAATATATAATTTGAATAGATTAAAGAACGATTTAAGATTTTATTTTAGTTTCATCCATAGGTAATAATAATTGTCTATCATTCACATATTTCTTTATTATCACAAATTATTTATAAGAGGAATATAAATTTTTATTTAAGTTATATGTGCAACTTATTTTACATTTTAATAATATATAATTTAAATAGATCACTTGAAAGATTTAAGATTTATTTTATTTTCATAATTAGTGATAGCAATTGTCTATGATCCACACATGAAAAGGGAAAAATAGAAGAAAGAGATGTTAGGGTTATGTGGGTAATTTGGAGATTGCATAAAAATAATAAGGGCAAAAAGGTAAAAATATGGTCAACTACCCCTACCCAGCTTTTAACTTTTGGCTTAAAATAAGTTTTTCTTAACTTAAAATAAGTTGTTTTGACTATTGCCAAACAACTAAATAAGTCAAAAACCAGCTTTTAAGTCAGTTTGACAAGCTTTTAAGCTGAGCCAAACAACTCTTAACCATTAGAAAGAATCCATCTATGCATACTTCTCAGTTAAAGACACAAATCATCTTACTACATACTAACAATAATTAATATATACTATTGGATGAAAGCTGCAGTAACATGCAAATGAGTATATATGGCTTTAACAAATTAAGAGAATAACAAAAAATTTTGAGCTGGGGATACCCTGCTTTCCTTGTTCTCCATGAAAGGAATCGAAATATCTAAAGAGAGAAAAATAAAAAAACAAAGTAAAGTAGAATAAAGAGGCCTTTCAAGACAAAGGAAGACTTTTTCTCCATAGGCTCCAGCTAATCTTACTCATATTTCATATACAAACATTAAGTATTAGGTTTCTTGCATCCATTCCTTTATTCAGATTCTCACGTTGGACTCCATTTTATTTTTTTTTTGCTGTTTTTCATGCATTCTCTATGTTTGTATAAAAGGGTATCCCCTGTTTTTCCATGAAGATTATCAGCCATCTCTAATTTCAAATTAATTAATCAACTAGATGGCTAAAAACATTGGCATTCTTGTTTGTCTTCTTCTTGTGATTTTGGATGTTGCTGCTGGTATACTAGGAATTCAAGCTGAGGTAGAACAAAATAAGGTAAATGACAATTCATTCGGAAATTATGATTAGTATAAAATGTTTAAATGTGTAGTCGTCTCATCTAATAACTTTAGGTTAGAGCATACTTTTAGTTAGTTAATTACATTCTTAACACGTGCCTACCTGATTTGTTATTCACGGGGCAATCTTTTTTTTTGATAGTGGGTAGTAGGGAGACAGGAAGCTAGAATTTTTGTCTGTTCTTATCCCATGTTAAATGTCTGGTCATCTCGTCTAAAATACTTAAGTATTGAGAGGGTATACTTTAATCTACTTAATTACATTTTGTGGCAATTAACACAATTAGGCTTGATTTGTTGGAACAGGTTCAGGACTTAAAGGTGTGGATCTTTGAATGTAGAGATCCAAGCTATGAAGCTTTTAAGCTAGGATTGGCTGCAACAGTACTTTTGGTTCTGGCACAAGTTATTTCTAATCTGCTTGCTGGTTGTATTTGCATCCAGTCCAAGGAAGAGCTGGATAAGGCCTCTTCTAACAAACAACTTGCATTTGCTTCATTTGTATTCCAATGGTAATTTTCCAAACCCCCCTCTCGTCTCCCATTCCGACTTGTTTAGATTTGCACTGGGTAGAACCATTAAGGGGTAAAACTTTCTTTGTCAAAAGGTTCTCCATATGCAGAAAGAGCTCGAACCTGAGACCTCTTGTTAATGGTTCAATTCACATTATATCCCCTAGTGGTAACATGGACAGATTTATTTATGAGGGCAATGAATGTTGTGGTGCTAATAAATTGTGCACTTTGTTTATGTATTACTTATCTTATTCATGGTTGTAGATTTAAAAAGAAATTGTTCTGATACTAGGATCATTATGGCCATTGCATTCTCATTGCTGGTAGCCGGAACATTGTCAAACGGGAAGGCAAGAAGATCTTGTGGCATATCACACCATCGTTTCTTGTCAATAGGAGGGATATTGTGCTTTATCCATGGACTTTTCTCAGTTTCCTACTACATCTCTGCTACAGCCACCATCCAGGAAGATAAGAAGCTGAATCAACAAGGAGGTCATGCATGAATACAAAAAAAAGTTACTCTCTTCCAATATATGCAGCCTTCGCTAACAGAATTAAATCAACTCAGTGCTCTCTACGGGAGAAATGAAAGCAGAGCATGTATGGAGAACTCATCATAACCGAGTCCCATATTTCCCTTTAAAAAATTCCTAATATTTCATGTAACATTTCTTGAATTTTTATGTTATTTGTAACTTTTTCTTGACCCTAGTGTAATTTGATGTTCATAATATATGTCCTGAGCAAACAGTAACGTGAGCTGTGTTGTTTTCCCAAAAGAAGAGAGAATGTATTAAAAGCATTGTTGGTCTGACTCAAAACTTATACTAGTTCAGTATTCAATGTAATTTTTGCAACTACTTTGGGGCTTAATCTGAATATGATTTCACTGCTTCTTTTCCAATTAGCATCCTTGCTGTTACTAATCTATTCCTCTGCATGCTAACACGATACTTAACATTCAAAGTACTTAAATTTGAGTCAAGTAGGACGACTATGTAGATTTGGAGGGTTAGGTTTGGTCATGTAGCTCTGGTGTTGCAAGCCAGAAGACTTAAGACAGAAGATGTAGTGAAACTTCATGATTGAGGTAGATTTTTATGTGAAACAAATTAAAGATTAAGCAACACATTCAGTAATCTGGAATGGTGCAACCATGTTTATCATTTGCAGGCCTCAATCAAGTGAAATTCCCAATCAAAATCACATGCAGAACTCAAGTTGAGGCTCTCGGATGCAGCACTAGTTGTTTCAGATTTTAAACAATTCTTCCAAAATCATTCTTCACAATTGATTCAAGAAGTATTCGTTAACTTACAGGAAGTAATAACATAGTAGAGAAAAATTTTCTAGCCCAGGTTGGCCAAAACATCATTTAAGGTAGTTACAGTTTCAGCATAGTACTTCTGTGCTTCAGCACTGTTCTTGGTCTTTGCTGCATGGTCCAGCTGAGGAAAGAAAATGAGAAATCTTTTGTCAGAAAAAAGCGAAATCATAAGCAACCCATCCAATTACTATGTCATTCATGTTATTAACCAAGAATTTAGACATTTGACTTACATCACTAATGGTCTTAAAGAGCTTTCCAGACAGATCCTGGAGTTTTCCCTTCTGTTCTTTTGGCATAGCAGAGATAACAGTCTTAAGGTCATAGCGAAGGTATTCTGCTCTGAGACGAAGGTCATTCTGGACGTAAGGCCAGGCCTTCTTGTCGATGAAATCCTTGACACTAACAATCTCCTTGGCTGAATCCTTAACTCTCTGGGCTGCCTCAGCTGGAGTCAACGGTTGAAGGTAAAACCTATTCTTCAATGGCAAACTGAAGTCCCTTGCCTCATCTGAGTTCAAAGTTCCAGCTGCCCAAACCAAATTTCAGCATCAGTACGGAAATTCCATACATTATCCTTTCTAGTTCAAATTGTTGGAATTTTCTGTACATCTAATTTTACCAAAATGAGAAATCATGATAGTTCCAACTGCATGTATATAACTACTTCTAAATCTTGCATTCCTGCAAGAGGCTATTACCACAACAACTCGAACAACTTTACCAGCTACGGCTAGGCTCCCCTCACACAATATTACTATTAAAATTAGAAGGGATTGAAATCATCTTGTCAAAATGCAATCTTTAACTACTTCATATGAGCCCCTCATTTTTTTTGTCTTTCTCAAGTTTAATTCTCTCTTTTAATTTACTTAAAGACCTTTCTGTTTGACATGATCTAATAACAAATCTAAATCAATCTATTCCTTGATCTATCTTTCAATTGGAAATGCTGATATAAATATCAACTTGCTTGATCTAAAGGTTCAAACTACTAAAAATTGAAATGCAGCATTGGAGGGTCACTCCTAGGTTCTCTGTCTTGCATATCTGAATCTTACACTATATCAATTGTCCGCAAATATATCTGTTATGATATTACTATTGTATCGTTCGATTAATCAGTGATGAATCTAGACTAGGCGCGTGTAATTCAGAATTTATAAATCTATGTCTATAAAAGAAGGAAATTGATTCATCAGCAGGAAAGAAAGCAAAAGGACGACTTACGCAATCCACCCGAGGGAGGAGGTGGGGGGCCAACCTTAATTGACCTGGCTTCAGCAAAAGCTGCTTTAGCAACGGAACCAGCTAGGCCAGCAGCAACAAGACCAATCATGGCTCTACGGCTAGTTTCGATGTCAACAGACCCCTGTTGGGCTCTGACAGTGAGTCCTGGTCTAGACAAGGCAATTCTGTTGGTGCTAACAGTACTCAAGCGGGCTGAGCCACTAAGCTGGAGGCTACCATCCAAGACAGTTTGTGAAGAACCAATTAGGCCACCCATAGAAGCCATAGCATGAGCCATTCCTCAGGACCTTTTTGTTTTGGTGATAAAATAAAATGTTTCAGGTAAGACTTGATTACAAATGTTTGGGAATTATAAGTTAATGTTTGTGGTACGTATGATTTGGATATTGCAATTTCTGGTGCCTGTGATGCAGAGTGATTACACTTAGGATCACCTTATCTGGTTTTGGATATTCCATCAGCCAATCAATGCATTAATTGTTGACATGTTGGATTCGGGTTACTTTACAAGCTGTAGCATCTTGACACCTGGACCAAGCAGATTTTGGGTGTACACATCATCATATATGACAGATATTTGTTGAAATTGATGAAACTTTTAGAGCTCGTCAAATGAATAAAAAAATAGTTCAAAAGCACTAAACTTCTATTATACTGATAACTTAATAGTGTCGCATAAAAAGTGATTCTTTCCTTTCGTTGGAAATTGATTTCCCAGTTGCAAATGTACGTCTCTCAGATTGTTTCTTCATTAGAAAGTTTTCACCTTTTGGGGTTTAACACGTACGTACAATTGGAAATTCCAAATTGATGTTTGTTACAAATTACTTTACCTCAAATTTTTTACATATAAGTGATTATAAGGATGCGAAGATTAAGAAATTGTACAAAACTTCTGAGATTTAGCCAAATTTGTACAAGTATCAAAATTATCATCACTTAAAATAAGAGAAAAAAAGGTTAAAATACCCTTTAAAGATATGCAAAATTCAATATTTGTTGTTCGCTAATAATTTGTCCCAACCCTGCTCCTAAAAACCTAACTGAGCATAATTTTAAAGCATAAAGTTTTTTTTCTAAAAATTTCACTGGACAACTTATGATAATTTAAGATTTCTGCCATAATTTAAAAATATTTCTAACTAAATTCTAACATTACCATAACTTGTTAAGGCACATCTTGTGACTAAAATTATGACAATTTGTCAGAATTTCTTGTGACCAAAATTATGATAATCACAACAAATTATTAGTAAGGAAAACTTGCTCAATATCAATTACAGTGATTTTCTTTTGGGCTGACAAACCAGAATTTTGCTCCTACTTTAGGTGAAATGATTATTTAATTTATTTTTACACTTTTTTAAATTGAGGTTAAATTTTAAATAGTGCCACGGGAAGTTTCTATATGTGCAAATCAGCTCGGCCCTCTAATGTGTCAGACCCAGGTCAGCCCATGTGACATCCTTATATTTGGTTAATTTTCTTAGCAGGCAATACCCAACAATTATAAATGGAGCCATAAATTTTTACTCCTTGCGTTTAAAAAAAAATATTTTTATTTTATTTTTAATTTATTAATTTTTTTAAAATTATATTTTAGCTTTTCACGTGATATATTTAAGATCACAAAATTAAAGGGCATTTTGATACGGGTTTGCCGTAATGCTAAAACTATGGCGAATGCATCTATCGTCATTGATGCATAAATAAAGATACCAATAACTTTAGAAATATAATATTAAATTCCAAATCAAATTAGAATATCTTTTTTAAACCAAGAGAATAGTAAAACTTCAACTCAACCATTGAAGTTTGTTGCAGAATCGAACCCGATCAATAAGTTGTAGTCCAAATGATAATAGAATTACTTAAATTTCATATACATCTTAGGTTACACGATATTTTTACTCTCTCTTATGTGTGCTCCAGAATGCTACTGCAATTCCTAAATCACCACTATAATTGTGCAGTTGTGCCAAACCCAAAAATCAGATGAGGAAAGGACAATCGTAAGTTTTAAAAAATCATGATTAATTTCTACTTGTATTATTAAAAATAAAACCAGATAAGGAAGAAACTTCGAAAAAGGTCCAAAATTTCTATCAATCTATTCTTAGCCAAAAATGTATAACTCATAAGGCGGGGTCCAATTCTTAATTCTATTCGGAAATTTTTTAGACCTTTTTCATCTTTTAAGTGACTATTTTGGATAAACACAAACTTGGCCTTCTCAATTTTGAATAATGGAAGTTGAAGAACAGGGGACCAAATCAAGAGTTGTCAAGGTAAACTCTAAGGAATCATGGGATTTTCATGTAAATCAAGCCACACTTCAAGGATGCCCTGTAAGTAAAGCCTGAATGCTTATAAAAGTTTTTATTTTTGTTTCTGAAAAGTTGGTATCTTTATTGAAGTTTCCAATGTCTAGTATGTGTAAAAATTCATTTTTTCCTTGTGGGTATTTGTAGATTGTGGCACACTTTACGGCTGTTTGGTGTATTCCCTCTGTGGCTATGAAACCCTTTATGGAGGAGTTGGCTTATATGTACCAAAATATGTCTTTTCTCACAGTTGATGTGGATGAGGTCAAGGTGAGGTCTTTTAGCCCTTTGGTGTAAAAGACACAACTTTAAAGCCTAAAAGATGAGAAAAAAAGGATGCAGAAATTTGCCTTGCTTAACATACTTGTAAGGGCTAGTCTAGTTATGAGAGGTTACTTGCCTGTGGCATCCCTTTGAGAGATATAGGCTTAACCTTGTTAATGGTAGTTTATATTATATTGTATCATTGTGTGTCTCTCTGGTCGGCTTTTTAAAGTGTAGTCCACTTCCTGAGTAAATAGCTGAGTGTATTCTAGATGTTCGAGTTAATTTGCATGACTTAAAGGCATGTGGCATAGTAATAACTTCGGTATAGATTTGAATAATTGTCATTTTGTCTTGATCATGTATGATTTGTATCAAGAAATTCACAACGGGATTGCTAGTGCAATATGTTCAATTATTCAAGGAAATGCTAGAAGCGTGTGGTTCTTCATTGATTAAAGGTTACAATTAAATGAACGAGAAAGGGTAAGAGCTGGAAAACATTTACCGCGTAAGAGGTAGTTTTTATGAGCCAGTTTACTTGATAAAAGAATAGCGAGTTGATGTCTTATACTAGAGCTGTAAAGGTCCTTCTTTAGCTTTCTGGTAGTATATTTCTCTAATTAAATATAGCATGTTGAGATCTCATAACAAAGTATAAAAGATGCGAGGATCCAATTATTGGGCTAAAATTCATCCTTGTTTACAAATTTTTCGGAAATGCGCTCCGTCTGAAAGCTCACAGCTTGATTAGGAAGCACATTTGAGATGGATATTTTGAGGAGTATGTGATATTTTGGACTTAATGTATCCTCTGATCAAATAATGAATGGTACTGGACTGTTTGGTTTCTACCTGCCCTGGGTTTAATTTATGTTGCTTTTACAGCAGAGTTCAACGTCATGGATAGGGATGTCATTTGGCGTCAGGGGGGTCTTTTATAAATCCTCTACACCAAGTCAAAATTTATGACTCTTGAAATGTCCTTAATTGAAACCATCTCTTGTATCTTCTCCTTCACTCAAACATTTAATTTATGAAAACAAGTCATTTCTCACTAGTCTGAGAATAATATTCAGTCTCTTTAGTTTCATGAGCTACTGGCGTGGACATATTGTGCCTGTTCTCCGACAGTTGCTTAGTTACATGGTCAAACTTATGTTCATCTGTCCTACTGTCTAGTGTCTGGAGGCTAGTCCTTGATTATGATGAATCATTCATGCAATGAGGTAAGAGTGACCTAGGCATATAATATGCCAATATCACATCGTGCAACAAGAATATATTCGTAGACAAAGTGATAACTCATTTACGTTCATAAAAAGTTGATTAGTTTTGTTCTTCCCTTTGATTCTCTTGGCTTGTCTACTATCCTGGGCCTTTCAATCAGACGAGGAGGCAACTCCTGTTGTACAAAAGCTGAGTCCTTTTCTACCTAGTTAATAATTTAGTATCATCCACTTGAAATGGAGATTTGCATGAAAAAAGGAACTGTTTGGACTATAAGATGCTTCTGGTGGGATTTGTTATACTAAAGGTCCTGCAACACCCGACATAAAAGGCCTAGATTGACATCTTCATCGTTTTTCTGAATATTTTTTCTACCCTTTCTATTTTCTGATGGAATATCCCAAGTTCCATTTTTTGCTTATAATCTGATCTAGTCTATTAAAGGCATTTATTCTCTAGTTGTCTCAACTTGACACTTCAGGCTATTTGGCTTCTACCCTTCTACAAAGTCATTTGATATTATTTACATGCTTGTCAAAGGTCAACAGAGTCAACCATAATATTTTTTTTATCAAGTTTTCACCCGGTGACAAAAGTTTGTTTTGCTGCTTCTCATTTTCTAAAACATTAAGCAATCAGAAAGACTCACATGCTCACTATAATACTAGAATCCTCCTTTACCTTTTCTCAAAAAGTAAATGTTACTTGAATTATGAAGATATTAAAACCATGAAATTATTTACGAAGAAGTGACGGACAAACACACCTCTTTTGGATTTCCCATATTGAATGAGAGAATAATGATATCTGAGATATAAGCTCTTCCAACTGTGCTGTCATTTATTTTGTTATTTATGATATAAGCTCGTTGATCTTTAAGACATTAGAGAATAGAATAGTCATTTCAATTATTTGCAAGTTGCCAAGTTGAGAGATTCTTGCTCTCCTGGTTGCAATTCCTAACCGCAATTAGCCGTGGAATCTGCATATATTTTGTCTAGGGAAAGGCTTCACCTTTTACCAGTCACTTCAGATACTTTTTTGCATTGCTCAAGATTTGTTAGATTAAGACTACTGGATTCCCATTTGTGGAGTGACTTTGATGATTATCTAACCGAATTATTTTTCAGTGAGTCCTGATCTTTTCTCTATTACTTGTGGTTGGAGAATCTCATTAATTTAATTAGGCTGTAGCATAATTTTGGTATTTCCAAAAGAGTAATTCTAGTTGCGTTATTCTCACAATGCTCCTCTGCTGTCAATTTGATCTGTTGAAAATCCAGTTGCACAAATTTCTATAGACTGTTGAGTTTCTCGATGTTGTCCATAGAAACCATTGTCCAATTATATGATGATTATATGTAACTGAATTACTGTTATTTGAAGATTTGTTATTTATCTTTCACTTGTTAAAAAAAAAGATTTGTTATTTCTCTTTCAACAAGGGGTATTCCTAAAATCCATTCGAGTAGTAATATTCTGGTTTAATATGCTAACATAATCTTAGAAGATGGAAGCTTTTGTTCAGTTGATCGATAGACATAGTTGGCTGATATAATTATGGGCTACCACTTAGTTTCACAACCTTGATCCTTTTTACAACTTGAATGTTTGGTCATATTTTTTTCAATCCCGTGTTCAGATTCAAGCAACAATGCTAGTTCTGATATATGCGAATACAAAAGCATCAGGACAATAAAAGGTGCTTGAGGAACTCAAGATAAATCATATTGTTGAAGTTAATTCTACCTAATATACACACTTTTTGTTTTGCGGTACCTAGGAGGTGGCTAGCAAATATGAGGTGAAAGCCATGCCAACATTTCTGCTGCTGAAAGGTGGAGTGCCAGTTGACAAGATAGTTGGTGCAAATCCAGATGAGATGAAGAAAAGGATCCACAGTCTTGCTCAATCCAACCCCACAGATATACCCTAGTCCAAGTACATATCACATATACAAACATAAATATATACTGATATGCAGTGTGCCAGTACTACAGAAGCTTCTTTTGTTTGTGTGGCTTCTGCTGTTTCATCTTTAAATGTCAGATAATTCCATATCCACTTATAGTTGAGTGTTAAAAACAGTTATGTATTCAAGGTTTCTATGAATAATGTAACAAGTTAATGAACGTAATACGCGGTGAATGGCTTTTCTGGACACTGAGAAGGTATTTGGCCTTGTATTATAAGTAGTGGTCCTGGAATCTATGTGCATGCATCCTGAAAACGGAAGGTCTTCAATTTCTCTTTGCACCAGTAAATGTGTGATAAATGAACTTGCCACGAATATGTTAAAATACATTTTTCCTTTTGTTATGGGAAGAGCCACGTAGGCTCCAGGACAGTCTTCATCGAAAAATTATGCTATATATATACGTATAATTTTAATTTAATATTGACATATATAGAATTTGGACTCCTAAAAATTGTAAATAAGGCGCAGCAGCGTTGGTAATAGCTGGCGATATCCTACTCTTTGCCCGGGTTTGATTTCTCCATAAGGGTATTTCTTTTTTCTTTAATTATTTTGATGTAAACCCGAGTTCAAATCCCTCTTTCACTAATTTTTTTTCAATTAAAAATAAATTATTTCTTTAAATTTTAATACCTTTTCAGTGTGGAATAAGATTTCCTAAAATTTAATACTTTTTCCTCGTGGATTTTTTTTCAATTAAAATAGAATTATTTCCTTAAATTTTATTACATTTTCCTTATGTAATAATAGTTCCTCAAATTTTTTTAAAAAATTGCCTCATTGAATAAGGTTTTCTTTTTCTATAAATAGGAGACTCGATAATTCAAATTATATTACCATATTATAAAAAGAATAGAATCTCAATATTTCTAGACGGTTGTATAGTGTCTTATGTAGAAAAGAAAATATTTCATCGAGTATAATTGCACTAACATTTTTAAATTATGTTTTCAATAGTATTTTATTTTCTTCGTGTTAGTTTTGAATTTTACACTTGTAATTCTATTTAAAAAATTACTTATATTTAATTAAATATTGTTTAACTTAATTATTTGTTTTGATAGTTTAAATTATCATTTTTTTTTAAAAAACAAAGAATTATTATTAAAAGTTTGGACACCCTTGATAAAATTCCTGCCACTGGACTCACTCATGGATGTCGTTAAATTGCAACTAGAGAAAGAGTTAGATCAGTGAGAGGTGAATCTAATATATGTGGGTATTCACTATTCATTCATTTTTTCATATGTATGCATAGGTCGAGACAATTATGGAAGTACTAGCTTCCTGGATCAAGATGTTTTACCAACAGTATATTTTTTTGGTACCAACGTAGAGATTCGTCTAGCACATATGTATTGCTGTATTAGGCATTGACGTAAACGAGTGGAGAAATAGAGTGTGGTTTTCTCACGCTTTAGTTGTTTTCAAGAAAGTATCAAATATATTACGATGGCTACATGTTAACTCGATTTTATTGATAGTTTAAGACCATCCCGTCTATTTCTTAGCGTGAATTGGATACTCATCCTTTTACATCTTTCTACTTATAAGGACGTGAATTACGAAAATAGTGAGTATATGGAATCTCTTTTTCAGGATACTGAAATAATGAAAGATTTTTTTTTATGTAATTGAAAGCTAAGCAAAGTCATGAAACTAACTAACCACGTCATGGAGCAAGACCTAGAGTGTGGTGGCTGAACTCTCCTCAAGTGTTCCATACTGAAAGGAAAATAAAGGCATTTTTACTCTATGATTTAAGAAATGTCCAAATTATTATACACAAGTTTCCTGTACATTTATATGTAAAAAAAAATAAAAAAAATCTTTAAGCTATGAACCCAATCACATAACCAAATACATTTTACGGTTGTATCAAGACTCTCCAATCTCCCCTGCTTGTCAAAGAGGAATAATATATTTTCACAAAATGTATGTTTGGTATGGAGGAAAACATTTTCTGTTTTCTTATATCTGGGAAAATAATTTTTTAGGAAAATAAGTTTCTCAAAAATGAGAAAAATGACTTTCTTAATAGATACAGGGATAATAAGTTCTACAAGTGACATTTTATGTTTATGGCCGGTATATATCTTCCTACCCATTCAAGACCCCCAATCTGTACCCCTTTACCATCCAACTCCCCACTCACACTTCCCTCTGCCTCCCATTACATATAAATTGCTTTTGAGATAATAATTTTTCCTTTTGCCTACTTACTTACCAACACTAGAAAACAAACAAGAAATCAACTTTTGTTTCAAGAAAACACTTTCTTAAAAAATAAAAAAAATTTTAGATAGCCAATCAACTGAATTATTAAGATGATGGTATATATCACATATCACACTTCTCAGAGTGACTTGTTGCATTAATTGGGATACATAAATAAATGGATAGTTGCTTTCACGTAAATTATTGCTACTAATAAGTTTGGTTACATGAATGAATGAAGTCAAAAAAAGGAATAGTTGAAAAAGCAACGTCCACTAATGGATGGAAGATAGGCATATAAGATTTCTTTGGAATAAAATATCTAGGCATAAATGTGCATAGGAGGGGACCATTAGAGAAAAAGAGACATTGTTAATGGTGGTAATAATTTTGAAACACTTTGAAGGGCTCTGAATGCCTTATTCTCAAAGACAAACAGCATCCTTTCTTTTTTTTTTTTTTTTCTAATATATGATTCTTGAATCCATACTCAAATTAATATTTTTGTCATAACAAATAGGACGAGAATAATAGCGGAGTAATAAATAAAACATCCTAAAACTATATAAACATTAAGCTGTAGTCGTGACACACTATGACACCAGTACATTTTAACTACTAGTAATAAAAGTATACAAATAAGAAACATAGAATCATAGATCACTCATTTTAGATCTTGAATTTGAAATATAAAGGGACTTTTGGAAATTCTCTAAAAAAAAATTCAAAAAAATATTCTAATTTATTACATGCACAAGCTAAGAGAAGTAACAGATTATTAAATTACTCAAGGTGTTTTAAAAATTCTTTCTTGAAAACTAATCCAATTTTTTCAAGGATAAGGCTCTAAAATCTATTCGACTATGGTGAAACTGTAAATTGCACACCTATTTATGTCTAGTTTTTCTTATTGTTTTTTGTGCAATTAAGAAAAGTAATAAAATCCTCACGTAATTTAAGGTGCGTAACTTACAATTTCAATATATATAAAGATTCTTTATGCCTTTTTTTTTCTAGTGATGAATAGGAATGATACAACTTTTCACAGAACATACAAAAATCTTCACAAAAGTTGACTGTTCAAACACGTTTTACATACACTCTTTACTAACAAAGTTATCCAAAAGTCGTCCACATGCATTAAAATAAATAATATTAGTGACAATAAATATGAATATTAACAAAAATATATTAAGTCTTTGTGGATATTAGTTAATTATTATTGGATCTAAAGTTATTATAATCTTTAGAAATATTTACAAAAAATTATTAATTATCACTAAATATGTATTAAAATAGTTAAAGATTAATGATTAAACTATAAAACCTAATGGCCCAACACTAATATATGCACTATCCCAAATAATTCAGAATGATAATTAAGAGCTCTTGTTCATGCATAATGTACTTAGGAGTCGTTTGTTTGCTGATATGAGTCAGGAATGTGTTAGTAACGCACATGATTAACTACGTAGAATTTAATTAGTTTGCCTATATAAAATTATAATTTATGTATAGGTTGACTGATAATTCATATATATATATTTAATTATGTGAAATTTAAAATGATAATCAAACATGATGACTGGTGTGCTGAATATTATATAAAATGAAAATGAAAAAAATGTTTCAAATATATTTAAATTTTAATAATAGTTGTAACTGGTCCAAATTCTTGGCAAGACTTATTTTTCCTACATTATTTAATAGTATATTTTAAAGTTATATAGGTGATTATATGACACAATGAAGTAATATGTTCAGCTATATACTTATAATATTTGAAATACACTATTAAATAATGCATGGCGTAATATATAGGTTATGTCCAAAATTTTGAGATTGTTATAACAATAAAATTTAAACATATTTCATACCTTTTTCTCCTAAAAAAAACTAAACCTAATTAATTTTCTTTCTAACGGGGAATCAAATCACCTTCTAAATTTTATCGAAATAAAATAAGACCAACGAGTAGCCACTATTCAAATGGTATTCCCTCGACAATTGAATTATTCTAATAAAGAAAAAATATATTTTTTTAGAGAACTACCATTGATTATTCTTTTGGAACAATTTTATCTCCTCTTTTGACATGGTATAATATATCACGTCTAGTGAATTAAACAAGTCATTAAAAGATACTAAAAGAAAACAGAAGTTACAAGACTTATGATTATACTTTATAGATTTTAGCTTTTTTTCTCTTATAATAATTAATAATATCGAAAAAATATTGAAAACAGATTTTAATCGATATAATATACAAGGACAAGTGGCATTTTACAAGACTATATTGATAATTACTTAGAACAAAAAGTAATTAAACAAAGTCCTCCCAAGTAGGGATATATTCACTTTTAACCAAAAATTTGCATTTCAAATTTGAATTTATAGGAAGAATTTTATCTTTACCTCAATGGACATTCATTCATACTGAAAATACGAATTCAAGCGAGCCAGTAACTTTTTAACAAGTATTACTCCCTTTATGCTTTAAAATAGAATATATAGTTATGTTTTTGTTTTTCCTTTCGGTTTGTACTTAATTTGATTCTCGATTATTCAAAATATATGTCATAAGTCTCACTTTAAAATAGACTATAAACAGCTTAGGGATTAAGATTTTGATTAATTAATTAAAAAATACGGGATAAGACATATGTACTTTCTAAGATATATGTACATCTAAATCTCATAAACATACTTAAATTTAATTAATATTATATTACCTGTTAAAACTTGTTTTTTTCCCCCATATTATTGTGCAGTTTTTGTTTTGACATGACATCTTCAGTCAATACATATTGATTGTATTTATAAACATTTGTCTATGTGTTTAAATTTTATTTTTTTAATTAAAATATTATTTTTAATTTTTTTTTCTTTATCTGTATTTAGATTAAGTTAATACATTTCTTTTCCCTTGTATCAGAACTCTTTTTTTTTTACTTTTATTCATTTCTTTTTTT